TCACATACAACAAAGGCTAAACTACCCTCACATACAACATTAACATGTACATTGTCATCCCCCCACAATTTGAGCAGGGTTGTAGAACACACTCAAATTGGATCATTGAGAGTAGAAAGCTGGTGCGGATAGAGCCTTGGTAAGTATGTCAACACGCTGGAAAGAGGAAGAAACATGCTGAAGTGTAACAATGCATGATGCCACCTTTTCTTGAACAAAATGAATGTCAATCTCAATATGCTTAGTTCGTTGATGTTGAATGGGATTGAGTATCACATAGATAGCACTAAGATTGTCACAAAAAACAATCGATGTAAATGAAAGAAAAAGATGCAATTCAGCCAATAATTGTTTTACCCAAAGAACTTTAGCAACAGCATTGGCAAGTGCTCGATATTTTGCCTCAGCACTAGAACGAGCAACAGTGGATTGCTTCTTGGAAGACCAAGAAATAATAGAATGACCATAGAATAGACAAAATCCAGAAGTAGAACGACGTGTATCTAAACAACTAGCCCAATCAACATTTGTAAAGGCATATAGAGAGGGTAAAGAGTCACAATATAACTATAAGCCATGACGCATAGTACCTTTCAAATAGTGTAAAATATGCTTGACAGCAACAAAATGATTCTTAGTAGGTGCATGCATATATTAGCATACCTTATTTACTGCAAAGGTAATGTTAGGTCGAGTAAAGGTCAAATACTGCAAGGCTCCTACCAAGCTAGGATAAAGAGAAGCATCCGAACATAATAGAGTATCATTAGCTTGAAGTTTGGGCCTAGGTGTTAAAGGAGTGGAAATTGCTTTGCAATCAACCATACCACTCCTTTCAAGTAAATCACGGACATATTTAGTCTGAGAGAGAAACAAACCATTTGAATTAAACTGAGTTGCAATACCCAAGAAATAACTAAGACAGCCCAAATCAATCATCAAAAACTCAGCCTTCAATAAAGAAATAATAGAACCCAATATATATGGTGTAGAGGCGGTAAGAAGAATGTCATCCACATATAAAAAAAGTATAGCCATAGAACCATCCGAATGAAACACAAACATAGAGCAATCCGAAGAAGCCTGTACAAAACCGTGAGAGAGTAAAACTGAAGTGAAGTAGTGAAACCAAGCATGAGGAGCTTGCTTTAGACCATAAAGAGCTCGCTGTAATAAGCAAACATCATCAGGATGTTGCTCGCTAACAAATCTAGGAGGTTGATGCATATAAACTGGCTCAGATAAATGACCATTCAGAAACGCATTCTTAACATCCAATTGATGAATTTTCCAAGACTGTGAGATAGTAAGAGCTAATACGGTTTTGATGGTGATCGGTTTTACTACTGGACTAAATGTCTTAACATAATCAACCCTAGATTATTGTGAATAACCTTGAGCAACAAGTCGAGCTTTGTACCTCTCAAGAGCACCATCAGCATGCCTTTTAACTTTGTACGCCCATTTCGACCCAATAAAATTCACATTTGGAGGTAGAAGAATAAGAACCTAGGTTTTATTGCGTAGAAGAGTAGAGTATTCATCCTCCATAGCATGCCGCCAATGAGACTGTTGAGCTTGTTTGAATGTATGAGGTTCTTGAATATCAGATACAGCTGTAACCATAGATAGGAGAGTGCGAACCTTTCTCGTGCCATCTTGAGACCTGGTCACCATAGAATGAGTTCTGCGAGAATTGTGAGAAGAAACAACAGGCTGAACAGTTTCCTGTAAAATGGAATCAGAAATAAAGACATCAGATTTTGGGGGAACAACCACCACAGATGCAGGGGACATGGTTTGGGGCAATTCTCTAAGAGAAGAAGTGGTGGAAGTTGTAGGTGGGCTTGACGTAGGTTGCGGACTAGAGATATGTGGGCTGGAAAGTTGTGGATTGTAACTAAAAGGTGGGGAGCTTGAGGTAGATGGGCTGGATGGTGGTGGGCTTGATGGTCCTAAGGTAGATGACATAATGCGGTATATGTTCCTAGAGATAGGCTAAAGTTCATCTAATAAATGAAAAGGATGTCTGAAGGTAGGTGGAGAAAGCATGGTGGTCCTCGGTGGTGAATAGTAAGCATTGTAAGGAAAAATAGCCTCATTAAAGACAACATGCCAAGAGAGAATAACTTTATTTGTTCTCAAATCAAAGCACTTGTATCCTTTATGATGTGGATGATACCCAAGGAAGATGCATAGAGTGGAACGAGGTGCCAACTTATGTGGACTAGTGGCAGTAAGATTTGGATAGTAGGCACACCCAAAGGCTCTCAAATTATCATATGTTGGGGGCAAACCAAACAACACCTCATGAGGTGTTGAAAAATGTAGCCTAGAAGATGGTACAATATTAATTAGATGGATAGCCACATGAAGTGCTTCCACCCAAAATTTATTAGGCAAATTTTCTTGAAATAATAAAGAGCGAACCATATTCATAATGGTTCTATTCATTCTCTTAGCTCTCCCATTTTGTTGAGGAGTTAAGGGACAAGAGGATCGAAGATGTATACCATGTGTTTGAAAATATGTAGCAAAATCTAAATTATCAAATTCACGACCATTGTCACATTGAAAAGCTTTAATTCAAGCAGCAAACTGAGTAGAGATATAAGCAGAAAAACGAACAAAATAGTGGAAAGCTTGAGACTTAGAATGTATGGGATAAACCCACAAATAATGACTATAATCATCTAAAAATGATAAATAATATTTGAAACCAATAAAAGACTCAACAAGAGAAGTCCATATATCTGAATGTATTAAATCAAATGGAGC